CTGTCTCTCTCTCTCACTGAAATAAATAAAATCTTTAAAAAATAATAAAATAAAATAAAATAAAAAACCTGATCCTGGGACACCTGGATGGCTCAGTTAAGCATCCAACTCTTGGTTTCGGCTCAGGTCATGACAGGGTTGTGAGATGGAGCCCCACATTGGGCTCCAAGCTCAGTGCAGAGTCTGCTTAAGAATCTCTCTCTCCCTTTCTCTCTGCTCTTCTTCCTGCTCACCTGCGCTCTCTCTCTCTAAATAAAAATAAATAAAATCTTTAAAAAAAAAAAAACACTAGATCCTTATCTAAAAACAAAAACAAAAAAAGAGCAACAAGCCCATACAGAAGCATATACAGTGAAGAGCAAGTCTCTCTTCTGCTGCCTCAGTGCTATTCTCCTCCCCCAGAAAAATCCATAACTGCTGCCAGCAACAAGTGACTCAGGTTTGGCAGCAAACCCTTTCCTTTTCTAGACATGGGAATTTAGACAGAGCCAGTCAAAGAGATTGCCCTTTAAAGAAAACATACATCAGGGGCACCTGGGTGGCTCAGCCAATTAAGCATCTGACTCTTGATTTCGGCTCAGGTCATGATCTCAGGGTCGTGGGATGGAGCCCCGAGTCAGGCTCCCCACTCAGTGGGGAGTCTGCTTCCTCCCTCTCTCTCTGCCCTTCCCTCCCCCCCCCCGCTTGTGCTCTCTCTCTGAAATAAATCGTTAAAAAGAAAAAGAAAACATATAGCTTCAGATGCTGAATCTTTAAACATCAGATCTATACATTACCTCTTAAGCCAAAACATTTATCCTAGGGGGAGGAGGAGTGTGAAAAAAATAGAGAAAGCATAGCCTGTTTTTCTATTGGAAATAAAAGTACCCTTTTCCATTTGCCAAGAACGGCTGAACAGAAAATCTGAGGCATTAATAAAAAAGAAACTTGAAGCCTTGCTCTAGTTTCTAGATCCTGTCTCCTGATTTTGGCACTTATTACAGAATGTTCTGATTGGAAAGCTACACTAGTCAATAACCTCCTAGACATCAGGAAGCGTAAGTGTACTAAAAAGGCACCCAAAAAAATTTTGCCAGCTTATTCCATTTTTTCAAAGATTTGATTTGATTTATTTTTTTATTACGTTATGTTAATCACCATACATTACATCATTAGTTTTTGATGTAGTGTTCCATGATTCATTGTTTGCGTGTAACACCCAATGCTCCATGCAGAACGTGCCCTCTTTAATACCCACCACCAGGCTAACCCATTCCCCCACCCCCCTAAAGATTTTATTTTTAAGTAATCTCTACACCCAACATAGGGCTTAAACTCACAACCCCGAGATCCAGAGTCGCATAATCTACCAAATGAGCCAGCTAGGCGCCCTCCATTTTTAAAATAATTATAAATAAGGAAACTGATATTCCAAAGAAATTAACTAGCATAACAAACGTCACACAGCTATTAAGCGGCTAAGCCAGACAAACTCTGGTCTGATTTCAAAGCCAAGGCTCTTTTTACTCAACATTTACATCTTTTTTTTTTTTTTTAAAGATTTTATTTATTTATTTGAGACAGAGAGAATGAGATACAGAGAGCATGAGAGGGAGGAGGGTCAGAGGGAGAAGCAGACTCCCCGCCGAGCAGGGAGCCTGATGCGGGACTCGATCCAGGGACTCCAGGATCATGACCTGAGCCGAAGGCAGTCGCTTAACCAACTGAGCCACCCAGGCGCCCTCAACATTTACATCTTACTAATACTAATCTATATACCACAGATTAAAGGATTGGGGGGAAATCACCTTCTTTTACAGTTCCACAAAAATATCATGATGAACAACTTGATACACTGTTCACAAGTAATCCTATTCAAAGCTAACTTAAAAAGGTTAAAGTTAACTTGGATAGGTAGAGGACAGTTCTTTCATTTTATCCTCACTTATCAAAGAAGTCATTTTTAGGGCGCCTGGGTGGCTCAGTTGGTTAAGCGACGACTGCCTTCGGCTCAGGTCATGATCCTGGAGTCCCGGGATCGAGTCCCGCATCGGGCTCCCTGCTCGGCAGGAGTCTGCTTCTCCCTCTGACCCTCCTCCCTCTCATGCTCTCTGTCTCTCATTCTCTCTGTCTCAAATAAATAAATAAAATCTTAAAAAAAAAAAGAAGTCATTTTTATATCATTATTTAGAAAATGACATATTAAAGATCCAAAGAAAAAAGAACTTTTGTGATTTCACTGAAAGGCAAGACTTCAACACAAAGTGATCTTTGCATGGTGACGTGTAAAAGAAAACAGGGTTGTAAGCCCAGGTGAGAAGTTGTTTAGTATCCGCCAAGCAATTCAAGTACCTTGTCTCTCCAACCCTACCATATGACATCCACAACCAGCAGTTCACATACCTACTGGTTCTCCTAAGTTGACACTATATGTATCTTTTTTTTAAAAAATGCTTAACAGAGCGCCGGGGTGGCTCAGTTGGTTAAGTGTCCGACTTTTGATTTCAGCTCAGGTCATGATATCAGGGTCACAGGATCGAGCCCTGCCTCGGGCTCCGTGCCCAGAGCACAGCTTGCTTGTCCCTCTCCCTCCGCCCTGCTCGAGTGCACTCTATCTCTAAAATAAATAAATAAAATCTTTAAAAAATAATGCTTAACATAATTGCTGATGAAAGTTTTCCACCAACAAAATTTAAAACTGTCCCACTCACTTATTAATGACTCTAGTCTCATAGAAAGACAATGCCACTTGGCAGCCCTATGCCTTGGTGGTACTTGCTTTAGAGCCAAGTACTAGTCGTTCTGTAAGAGAGCATTTCACTCAGATCAACTCTGGAAAAATTCTTTAATTCAAGCTAACATGGCTAAAAAATCAAAGATAAGGCCTTACGTCTACTCTGACATATTGAAACCCTTCTAGTAAAACCGATTCCAATTCCTCTGGCTTTCATGACAGCGGAAGAGGCAAAACTTGCCTTCTTACCTCTTCTTTGTCTAAACTGAAATACTTGGGAAAATAAGCCTTTAGACAGTAGAGACCAAGTCTACATTCTGACAATTGAAAACTGTGTTTCTCAAAATTTTTCAGCCAATACTGAGAAATTGGGAGGTTTCATATAAAATCTAGATTTATTATTTCTGGTAACATGGGTCAAGTTGCCACAATCAGAACGGGAGTCAGCTAGCTATAATCTGCAGGCCAAATCCAACCCCCCCCCCCGTTTTTGTACAGTATAAGAACCAATAGTTTGTACATTTTTTTAAAAGATTTTATTTATTTGGGGGCGCCTGGGTGGCTCAGTCGGTTAAGCATCTACCTTCGGCTCAGGGCATGGTCCCAGGGCCCTGGGATCGAGCCCCGCATCGGGCTCCCTGCTCAGCGGGAAGCCTGCTTCTCCCTCTCCCAGTCCCCCTGCTTGTGTTCCCTCTCTCGCTGTGTCTCTCTCTGTCAAATAAATAAATAAAATCTTTAAAAAATAAATAAATAATAAATGATTTTATTTATTTGAGAGGGAGAGTGAGAGAGAGAGAACACGAGCAGGGAGAGGAGCAGAGGGAGAGAAAGAAGCAGACTCCCCACTGAGCAAGGAGCCCGATGCGGGGCTCAATCCCAGGACTCTGGGATCATGACTTGAGCTAAAGACAGATGCTTAACCGACTGAGCCACCAAGATGCCCCCAGTTTGCACATTTTAAACCACTGAAAAAAACACAAAAGAATATTTTGTGACATGTGCAAAGTATGTAATTCTTTACTTATAAAGAAACAATGTAGGGCGCCTGGGTGGCTCAGTTGGTTAAGCGACTGCCTTCGGCTCAGGTCATGATCCCGGAGTCCTGGGATCGAGTCCCACATCGGGCTCCCGGCTCGGCGGGGAGCCTGCTTCTCCCTCTGACCCTATCCCCTCTCATGCTGTTTCTCTCGCTCTCTCTCTCTCTCTCTCAAATAAATAAATAAATAAATAAATAAAATCTTTAAAAAAAAAAAAAGAAACAATGTAACAGGGGCACCTGGGTGGTTCAATCTGTTAAGGGTCAGACTCTTGATTTCTGCTCAGGTCATGATCTCAGCATCCTGAGATCAAGCCCCACAGTGAGCTCCACACCCAGAGGGGAGTCTGCTTGAGATTCTCTCTCCCTCTCCCTCTCCCTCTGCCCCTCCCCCTGCTCAAATGTGTGCGTGCACACACACACTTTCTCTCTAAATAAATGAATAATCTTTAAGAAATGATGTAACAGACATTCCACAAATGCTCTACTAAATCCAACCCGAATAATGAACCAAGGTAGGATGTGAGCCAGGAAACAGTAATTAAGACCCACTAAGATCCACAGTAAGAGTACTGAACATACATACGATCTATATAATCCTTTAAAAGGGGCTCAATATAGTATCGTTTTGTATTAGATGAATCTCAGAAACGGAGAATGTTTTTGTTTATTTCCATCAGGTTTTAAAGTGAAATACCTAAAGAAGACTTAGAAAACCACCAAAACACTGTCAGCATCACACCTGAAGTCTGATGCTACTCAGCACAAGTCATCCCTGGGTATGAACCAACTGCCTTCTTTTCTCTCCTTACCTGAATAGCCGTCAGTTTATGTCTCACATTCACTAGAATAACTCGCGCTAATAAGAGCAGAATAGGCTTTGAGGTCAGGCTGTAGACTGATTCACCATCTAGAACAAGCAGATTCAGAACAACTGCATCTAGTCCTTTGACCTGAAAAAAATATATAAGCCAAGATGACCTAATTTAACAAAATATTAATCTTTATAGGTCTTGGAGTAACATATTTTCCAGTTAATTCAGCTTTGAAACAAAGGCATCAATCTATTACACAGCAATTGGCACTGGACAGAATCATAACCTTATAAATGTCCCTGGGGACCCACAAATGCAGGCCACCCTGACAGAATTCTCTGGAGATGGTATTAACAAGACAATAAATAAATGCGTGAATGTATGAATAGCCAAATACATACATTTCTCTTCCCAGTGCTACCTTGCATCATCATGAAAAAATGAAATGCTTTTCTATCTTCTGCTTAAGTAAATCAGCCTCTGCCTACCCCCAAGATATAACACTGATATTCCAACTGAGTTCTAAATGTGCTTCCAGAGGTTTGGGGAAATGGTCTGTTTTTAAAGAGGACTGCTTGTATTTAAAAAAACAAAACAAAACAGACAAAGCAAAGGTTACAACTCTTAGGAACAATTCCTCAGTCAAGACAGCATATGACATGTAAAAATATAAGTATTTATCACCATAATAGTGAAAAAAATTTCAACATCTGAAAGCCAGATTACTATACAACCAGATTACTAAGATCAACCTTTCTGTGCGAGAGGTGACCAATACTGCTCAAACATGGACCTTCAGTGCTATTCCTCTGAGACCAGTTAGCATCAGATGTCAGTGTTAAAATGACAAGGCCATAAATTAAAGGCAGGGAAAATGAATTTGGCTTTGGTCACCATACTCCATGACCATAAAGTATATTCACAAATATTTATGCTTCACAAGAACTAAGAAACATGAATCAGCGCAGGAAAATGACAATTAGAAAATACTGACGTGTTTAAAAATTTCAACTCCTCCTACCTTCCAAATTCTCAGACTGCGGGTAAAGAGTATAAATTGAATATTCCTTTTATTTATTTATTTATTTATTTATTTTTAAAAGATTTTATTTATTTATTTGCGAGAGAGAGAATGAGAGACAGAGAGCATGAGAGGGAGGAGGGTCAGAGGGAGAAGCAGACTCCCCACCGAGCAGGGAGCCCGATGCGGGACTCGATCCCGGGACTCCAGGATCATGTCCTGAGCCGAAGGCAGTCGCTTAACCAACTGAGCCACCCAGGCACCCTTGAATATTCCTTTTAAAAAGAACCTGACAGGGACGCCTGGGTGGCTCAGTCGGTTAAGCGTCTGCCTTCGGCTCAGGTCACGATCTCAGGGTCCTGGGATCGAGCCCCAAGTTGGGTTTCCTGCTCAGCGGGGAGTCTGCTTCTCCCTCTGCCTGCCACTCCCCCTGCTTGTGCGCTCTGTCTCTCTCTGACAAATAGATAAATCTTAAAAAAAAAAAAAAAACAACCTGACATTACCAAGAAGAGTTGAACATGTATATACTCTAGGGCATAGCAACTCCACTCACGGATATATATATACCACAGCAGAGCTTCCCTACTCTGGGAAGATCATCCTCTCAGCCCTCAGGGTATCACCTACAGCCCGAGGGCCAGTAAAAACAGCCTCCTCTGCTTTTTCAATATGCTGTGCTTTGAAATTCTTGCAAATGATTTCCAGAAGATGTGTTCCTAATAGCACTGTATGTAATACATTGGGGGCAAAAAAAAGGAAACATACCATATCGCCATCAAGAGTAGAAGAGACATACACGTTCTAGTATAGTCATACAATTGGAATACTATACAACAGTAAAAATGAATAATGGTATCATTTCAAAAATATACCATTGAACAAAGCAAGTCACAGAAGAATGCATAGTTTGTTTCATTTTATAAAAGTTCAAAAACTGGCAAAACTAAACAATACGTTTTCTAGAGTTACAGAGGTGCTGAAACTATGAAGAAAAGCAATGGAATGATTAACACAAAATTCATGGGACTGGCTCATGGAAGAGGAGGGCCAGGGACACCATCAGGAAGCACACACAGGGGACCTTCTAAGGCAGTATCTCCAACCCTTTCCAAGTCACAGCACACGCAGAGATGCTATGATTAGTGGTGCAAAGCAGGGAACTAGCAAATGCTGCCGACCAGTTCCAAGGCTCTCCCCACTCCAGTCCAGACCCCACACAGGCAAAGGGGCTCCACATCTGGGGAACAGCGGTCAGGAAACTCTGTTCTACAATGCTGCTAATGTTCTCTCTCAAGCTGTGTGGGAGGAGCAAAGTGGTTTTATTATTTAAACTGCATACACTTCACATGCTTTTTTTGAATCTATGAGGTAGTTCTAATAAAAAAAAAAAAAAATCAAGGTCTCAAAGTTTCCCACAATCTGGCCTGAATCCCATGAGGTGTGACCTTTCAATGCTACTCCAGTAGGCTCAAAACATCCTGCTCCCACCGCGCTCTTCCCCACTCTGAACTTCCGCTCCCGTGACTGCATCCAGACAGATGTTCCTGCTCCTCTCCACCTGTCCGTTTCCTCAGCACCCTTCAATTCACCTCACGGTCCACTCCCAGCTAAACTGTCTGACCAAATTCCCATTCCCCACATCTCTTGGTTAACTGCAATAATCTTAACAGTCCAAATCTCTCACATAACCTACTTCTGTACTGCCTTGAACTGTCCCCCTGACTTTACAGATGCTCCTCCACTGGCAGAGCTGAAAGAGGGCTGGGTTTGGGCCCAGGAAATGTGGCTTCCAATCACCCAGCTGTAAGACCTCTGACAAGGTTCCTTCACCACCAGAGCTTCCATCTTCTCGTCTCTGGGATCCTCAAACTGATAGAACACGTGAATTAAGCACTTGCCCCACATATCTGTGCTCAACAAACACTATGACTTTGACTATTTGGTGAATTTTTAACCTACACTACAGGGCTGAAGAGGCAGAAACTGTTTCATCCACAATAACAGAGGGAGTGAGATGTTCCATATAAGCAAATTTCTAGACAACTGAAGCATTTCTCTTTAAGTGACATTTTTTACTTTTACTTTACTTTACTTTAGTACTTTAATCACTTTGGATGAAAACCTCTGTAAAGTGCAGATTCAATTCCTTTCTTAGGCATAAGATACAGAAGATCTTTTAACCTTTCGATAATGATTCAGAGCCAGGATTATGAATTTCAATTATTCTACTGCAACATGATACAGTGACTCACCACACTGATGTGTACAGAGCTAATTACTGTGGCTGTCAGTTTATGGCTGCTTTTCTACTTCTTTTTCCACCCCACCATCAGATTGTTTTAAATATATTTTATTTATTTCTTTCTTTTTAAAGATTTATCTACTTGAGAGAAAAAGAGCACGTGAGCAGGGGTGGGGCAGAGGGAGAGGGAGAGAATCTCAAGCAGACTCCATGCTCAGCAAAGAACCCAACACTGGGCTTGATCTCATGACCCTGAGAACAGGACCTGAGCCGAAACCAAGAGTTGGACTCTCAACCGACTGAGCCTCCCAGGTGCCCCTATTTTATTTATTTTTTTTAAGTAAGCTCTATGCTGGGGCACCTGGGTGGCTCAGTCAGTTAAGCATCTGCCTTGGCTGGGGTGGTGATCCTGGCGTTCTGGAATCGAGTCCCACACTGGGCTCCTTGAAAGGTGGGGAATCTGCTTCTCCCTCTGCCTGCCACCCCCTCTGCCTGCCACTCCCACTGCTTGTAACTCTCTCTCTCGCACTAAATAAATAAAATCTTAAAAAAAAAAAAAAGTAAGCTCTATGGCCAACGTGGGGCTCAAGCTCACAACCCCAAAATCAAGAGTTGCACACTCCACCAACTGAGCCAGCCAGGAGCCCCTCTACCATCAGATTAGTAACACTTATCTCTAATTCCATTCCTGACAGTGGACCTTCTAGAAATACTTGAAAATCTGATCGATGACCAAGGATTCTCAGTACACTTTGTACAAGCTATATATAAAGTCGTATTTTTTCCTACCTACTATTAACTCCAGTTTATAAAGACCAGTTCCTAAAGAAAGAAAAAAAAAAAAAAAACACAATAATAACTATATATGACATTTCCAAGACGTATACCTCACTGAATTGCTGGAATAAAATAGATGGCAAAAAATCCTGAGGTTGTAAATCAGCGAGAGGCCCCGTCCAGTTACTCTGAACAAAAAGTTGCAAACTGCTTACACCAATTAGGAATATCAGCTGTTGTCTGCATATAAGAATAAAAAAACAAATATGAACCACTGTATAACCACAACCAATTTCATTTCAGTTTTACCAAGAAAAATATAAAATATTAACCAACATTTATAGAGATCATCCAAGTACTACAAAATAAAATTTCTGAAACCTAAACAATTTATGTCTCAATGTCCAATATTATAACCATGAGCCACATAGGGCTCTTTTATTTATTTATTTATTTTAAGATTTTATTTATGTGACAGAGAGAGACACAGAGAGAGAGGGAACACAAGCAGGAGCAGTGGGAGAGGGAGAATCAGGCTACCCACTGAGCAGGGAGCCCAATGCGGGGCTCAATCCCGGAACCCTGGGATCATGACCTGAGCCGAAGGCAGACACTTAACGACTGGGCCACCCAGGTGCCCCACATAGGGCTCTTTTAATTTAATTACAATTAAATGAAATTTAAAATTCTGTCCCTCAGTTGCACTATTTCAAGTGCTCAACAACCACATATGACTAGTGGCTGCCATACTGGAGAGCCCAAGTTTTCCAATGACTAAAACCACTGTCTTAGGCTGGCAAAGCACTATTAAATGTATTCAGTCTGTTTCTCTATGAAAATTTCAAATAAAATTCTACCTTTCAGTTGTGTCCAAATCTGTTGAGTAATCCAGGAATGTTACTATCTGCTTCTCCAGGTAGCTGTCCATCTTTTCTTCAGTCATAGTTGTTGAGTTAAAAATATTTTGAGTCAATGAATTTAAGAATATGGCCTCATAATTCCCTTCAAGCAGCAATTTTAAGAAAGATCCACTCTCTGCAATATAAAAAATTAGTCCAATAATTCAAAAGACCAATTTTTTTCATACTGTAAAGGATAACACTATTAGGTAAATCTACCATTTTACATTTTAATATGAAAAAAAAATGTGTATCCTTAGAATGCTTACTATACATTAATCACAAAGCACTGAGCAAATTCCCATTATTCTATGAACATCACTTCTTCTACAATTAGCAGCTCATCCATACAATGAGCAGCAAGGTAGAAGCAAGGTAGAAGTTAGACACAGGAATAATATTTCTCATTAGTAAATATTATCACCCTTCTGGGAATTCAAAAGAATCAAAAGATTCCGGGCGCCTGGGTGGCTCAGTTGGTTGAGCGACTGCCTTCGGCTCAGGTCGTGATCCTGGAGTCCCGGGATCGAGTCCCACATCGGGCTCCCTGCTCGGCAGGGAGTCTGCTTCTCCCTCTGACCCTCCCGACCCTCCCCCCTCTCATGCTCTCTCTCACTCACTCTCTCTCCAATAAATAAATAAAATCTTTAAAAAAAAAAAAGAATCAAAAGATTCCTATTGACAACAGAAAAGTTTCCACAATCAGGGGTCTAAGGCCTTTCATAATCTGGCTTCTCGTATCCCCACCATACTCCCTAAGGAACAGCTGGTTCTCTCAACTGTTCCCCGAATATCCCATGCACATTCCTGCCTCCACTTTTACACTTGTGATTTCTCCTGCTGAGCTCTTCTCCACATGTCTTACCCTTTAATCAAAATTCTGCTCACGTCTGACCTCTTCCATGAAACTTTTCCAGATCACCAGACTTCACTTGATCTTAGCCAAAAGGCCAAGAAGCGATCCAGATCACCAGACTTCAAAAACTACCTCTCCTGAAGCACCTATTGCATATACACACACACACAAACACACACACACACACAAACACACACACCCGCACACTAGTGTTCTAAACTGTTATTTTTCTTCCAGGTCCAGTCTAAATCTCACAACCAGATGTGCCTTTATCTCACATTTATCACTAGTAAATATGCTGTTAACACCTCTCTCCGGTAAATGTGTACTGTTCATAAGAATTATATCTTTGCTGCCTCGTTTCAGCTTTTATGCTTACCAACTGTGGGGCCTGGAATAAATTACTTAAACAATCGGGCTTTAAACGTCTTCACCTGCAAAATGGTATTAAACGTAGTATCTGTCTTAAATGTCTATTGTAAGGATTAAATGACAATAAATGTCAAGGACTTAGAAAAGTAGCTGACATCGCCATCGTTGTTACCACTGAGCCTAGGCGGTGAGAAGGTTGGGATCAAAACAAGCACTGAGCCCAGAGGACCTCGCCCACCACATCAAGGATGCAACAATCCAAAGTTTTAAGGGATCAGCTAGATTTCGGCAGAAAAAACAAACAAACAAAAAAAAAAAACAAGGAGGAGTGAGAACCCAGCCGGCACCACTCTCCGCTCACAGTCCACACGCTGGCCTCCGTTCCTGGAAGGTTCGCCTTTCTCACCTGAACCGGCGACTCCCTCCTGCTTCCATTGCTGCCGCTCAGCCTCAGTGGGGAAGCCCCTCAAAACTGCCAGCTCCGGTATCCACATCACTCTGGATATCGCTGCAGCCAAAAGGGGTTCTACGAGGGTCACACGGAGTCAACAAAAGAAAGTGAAAGAAAGAGGGTCCAAAGATGCCGAAACCTAGTGGCAACAGATCCTGTGAATACCACCCACAGACCTAGAAGTCCATGTGCAGACATCGTCACTTGGACGCGGCCATGACAGCAGCGCGGGACACCCTGGGAAAAACACACACTCGGCTCTGGTTTCCGCCTAGGAGACCTACTCAAGACCTTAGTACTGAGCATGCCCAGTAGAGATGCCCCGCCCGGGGCAGTGTACGGGCGGCTTGGAGGGCGCGGTCGATTTCAGCCCCGCCCTAAAGGGGCGTTGCCAAGAGCTGTAGACGACATGAGGGGGTGGAGTCGTCTTGCACCACCCACTGAGGATTGGGATTAAAATGCAGCTGGAAGCCTGGGTCTCGTCCTGCCAAGAGGTAATAGGCATGGTCTACCGCTTGGGTTCCTCAACATTTTTGGAACAGAACCCTCCTGACTACCTAACCAAGGTCCTTCACGCAAAATGCATGTGGGCCCTTGCTACCAACGTTCGGGTACCATTCCAGGAAGTTCGAGGCCCCGTGAAGTGGAGTCGACCAGCACAAGAACCACCTCTGCAGTGAATAGGTCTTTTTTCTTAGAATGTATTAAACTGTAAGGAAAGTTTTGGGGCTCCTGGCTGGCTCCGTCAGAGAAGCATGCGACTCGATCTCCGGGAAGTGAGTTCAAGTCCCAGGTTGGGTGTTGAGATTACACACATACATGACTAACTAAACAGATGAAATAACTTTTTTTTAAAGTGTAAGGAAAGTATCTGGTTTTGACGCTACCACTACATAAATCATGACTGAGTGGGACCTGTGGCCCCCCGGCTGGTGCATGGAAGCTTGTGGAGGATAGGCTGAGTCCAGAAACCTGTCACCCCTGCGTGCCTGCCGCTGAGCACGGAGCTGGGGCCTCATTCGCACGTCCTTTCTTCATAGCCAGGCTCCTAGGCCAAAACCGAGGCTCAGAGAGCCAGACCTCAGCGGGGCGGGACTCTGCCCAATGGGCCTGAAGCCTGGACTGTGAGAATGCCATGCACTAGCCAGGGTAACCCTGACCACGCCACAGTCTTGGAGAAATCAAAGGCAAGCGATCTCTGAAAGAGCCTAGCCCAGTGCCGGCTCCAAGGAGGGAACCAAATTCTCAATTCCCTTTCCTCCTCCGTAGGCTGTGGAGGGAATGGTGCTCAGCCTCTGCCAGCAGAAGCCAAAGGAAGCGAGACCTGGGTTGAGTGGAGAGGAGCAGATGCCCTAGAATGTCTTCTTACTGAGAAGTAATTAAAAGCTATTTGTGCAGGAAATGATATTTAATCAGTGTGTCCTTTTGGTTTTTTTAAGCACAAAATCCAGCACTGTCTAAACCATTTGACAGTTGTTAGAGCTATTAAAGGAGAAACACACTGGCCACTCATCCAGGTTCCTCACTTGTCCCACACAGTGAACTTGGTGCTTTCTCTATAATTCAAGGTTTGTTTAAGTGAGATATGCTTGACAATAATAGTAAGTATATTCATCTCTCTTCAGGCAAATGGACTCTAGAATAAAAATGTGGGAGAGGGCACATGGGTGGCTCAGT